TAATTAGTGACAGTATTTTGTGTGTGTATTTAGTGAATTTTTGTGCGTAATTTCAAGTTTATAGTGTTAACAAATTCCTCGTAGATTTAATTGAAAATAAACCCTTGAAGAGATTTACGGCGTTTCTATCCGATCCCCTAGCTCGTAAAGTATTAAAAGGTTTGGAAAGCCTGTATTCGTTTCATTGTGTCACCCGATCACAGATGATATTAAAATTATTCTCCTAATAATGCCATCAAAGCAAATAGGGGATGAAATGCAATAACCGAAAAGAATTATTATGCAAAGATATCGCACAAAAATCTCATTCTTTACTCATATCGTAATGAAATCGCTAGGTGTAGCTTTGACATTTTATTGGATTTCTTAATACATACTTATATTTCCAGGCATTCTTGCTGTTCGTTGTTCTTATTTAACTTATTCGTTATATTCGGAAATCAATGTGGGTGACGTAAATAACATGTTACGATTATAAATTAATGTACTGAGAGTTCCGGAGTTCCCAGTTCTTTCCTAGAGTTTGTTAAGGTCGCGTACACTTGTGGTGGGTTGAGGCTTTATTCTGCCGTTTAAATCAATGCGTGCATTCATATCCGTAACAGTCAAGTTCTGTTTTTTTAATTCTTTTTCATTAAATAATATTTTTCCAGATCGAGATTGGACCGCCAACGACCCGTGATCGACTTTATAGCGTAGATCCAGCCTTAAGACCAGGTGTAACTGGAGCGGTTCCAGACAGAAACTAAGATCTGCAACATTCGAGAAGATTCGGGTACGAAAAATGACACATCACATATCTGGCAATTACCACAAGACATAACGGCATGAACATGAACTATCTATGCCTTACAAACCCAAAACATTATAATTTTCCTATAATATTTATCTAAGCTCACAAAGAAAACAAAGGCATTAATTTGCAATAAACTGTCCAAGGTAACTAACAAAAATTTAAATATAAATATGTATATTATTTATTGCAGAACAATAGCTGAGCGCGTATCGAAGTCATTGAATTATAATGGTGCATTATTGACAATACATAAAAGTCAGTGACTAATGTTTTCATTTATTAAAGTAAATATTTAATTTAAATAAAAGTTTGGTTTTTACTTAACTCGATATATTGACTGTGTTCATAATATTGATAGATAACAATTTTATATTAGTGACAGTTTTTTAAATATTTTTTAGGTATTTTTTCAAAATTTAGTATAAATGTGTTGGTATTCTACGGTTGTAACGAATCTTATATGTTGTATTTAGTCTATTATATATGTCAGAGATTATATAATAGAGTCTGACTAATGAAAGAAGATAATTGAATTATTTGAAAACTTTCGGATGGCAATACAGAATGTCATTGAATTTCTTAGGTTAGTATGATTTATTGTCTTGATACTTCATGCAATTACTCATTTTTATTTCTATTATATATTTTATCCCAATAGTTAACAGGTATAATAAATAACTTTGTTTTATTGATTTTTTGGATTCTGATTTTGATTATTCCGAATAAAGTTGTGTTTTATAATAAATATAGTTTTAGTTTTCCATGCAATGCTAGTCATTTTAAGTATCAATAGTAAAAGACTACATACGTCCCTATAGTATTTAATTTCATAGAAATACAGTTACTATCATTGTAAAAAAAAATAAAACAAAATCAAGTATCAAGTAAGTTTAATCCACAAAATATATCAAATTTTTAGGGATACCAAACTATTTTTTTTTTTTAATTTTCCGCGCTTTTTCGTTATCTTCTTACATTAGCCAGACTCTAAGAGATCACGTTGTAATTGTTTTATTAGAATGGCAACACCATGCAATATTATTTTTAATTTATCGAGGACAAATATATTAAACAGGACATCAGTAAATATTAAAAAAAACAATAATATTGAAGAATTATTAAGCGTAATTAAATTCGCAATGTCATTACGGCCACGTCTTAAGTGGATTGCGTAAAGCAGCATTTATTATAATGCTTAAACATATTCTTCATATAAAACTCAGACCTTCTTCAGTCTTCGTTAGCTATCTTGTAGTTTAGACATTGCTAATGCAACTACATCGTAGCCCAAAGAATGTCCTCAGAGATCGGCGATAGGGGTACAATTTAATTGTAAAGTTATACTACTGCAAAAACCAGTTTCTAAAAGAAATCTTCGTACGTTAGAAATTCTTGGTCCATCCTACCGTAACGCTTGCTATTGTGTCGACCCATTCCCATGACTGGTGAAAGGGTTGCTATTATTTACTAATAACGCACCATAATGTTTCATTTTGATTAGATTTTAATACACTTAAGTTTTTATATGGAACACGTGTTCGTCAAGCTTCATTGGGCATAATGTTTTTTTATATTGTCTTTTGGATTTTATACAATAAAAGGTGCCATAAACTTAAGCTATTAATATAAATGTAAGTATGAGATATACTCGACGAACTAAAAACCTAAAAAGGTTAAAAATATCGTTAGCGGTTGTAAAATTTGGACATAAATGTGAATAAAAATTTCAGCGAATTGAGCAAAGAATATAAAAAATTTGCGTCAAAACATACTTGACGGATTAAAAAATCCCTCTAATTAATACCATCAGAGATATTGAGCGTTCGCGCGACGCCTCTCAAAATCTCAAAGATGCAATGACACCCGCTTTTTCATAAATAAAAAAAGAATTAACGTTAAAAAGTCGAAAAAACCTCATCCACTTCGAGTTAATGATACGATACGGCGGGAGACGTGAAACAAAGCTTCGGGATTTCATTCCACCGAAATGTAATATGACTAGAAAAACATTAGCTCACAAATCAATGATCTTTTTAAATATATAATCTTCTTTTAGAACTCAAGTTGATTCTGTTATGTCTTTTACTGCTATATGTGTTTATCCGAGTTGAATATGCCTTTGCGCATGATACTTTGTAGGTAGCAGAAGTCATTGGATCTGGAACCGCTCCAGTTACAGCTGTTTGAAGCATAATATTTGAAGAACTGATGATTTCTATGCATATTCATTACGTTCTAAATAGTATTTCAAAGCTTAGGCTTTTTGTTGGGAGTTGATGAGCAAATAATTATTATTAAAATTGATAGCACCGATGCAAGCCAGTTTTATGATACTTTTATTACCACATTGCCCAGCTCACTGACTCAAGAGCTTTTGACTTATACGGTGTAACAGACATCTACAACAAAACTTCAAGGTTCGAGACTTGAGACCGTCGCATCTAGAGATGTCTCGATTCTTTCTACTTTATTTTCGATCCGTTTTTCTCGAGTTTTCCCACAAAAAGCTCGCGCTTGGCTTCCTCGACAACCTTTAACATCGAATGCAGAGTGCTTTGTGCTTATATATTTTTTTTATCTTTTTATTACAGCGCCAAATCAGACATTGGTATGTCGAAAGGATTTTTTATTCAGGTTTTCCTGAGAGCGTAACTGAAGTGTAAAAATGTTTTACTTATGTAAAAAACATGCGATACTACATTTCAAAACTTTTGCTTTCTGCTGTAATTATGAAAATATATTTGATTTCATAATGTCGAGTAGATAAAAAATAAATCTGTAAGTTTAGATATTATAGACACTTGTTATTGACATATTATAATTACTATCATTTAAATAACAAAATTCTGGTTTCGAGGTTTTTTAGATGCGATTTCGATGTAGTTCTCTCAAAAACCGCTGATGTCGTAATCTTTGGATTGCGTGGTACAAAAGCTCGATATTGAAGTCCGAATCTGAATCGCTATTGCTATTTGAAGTCATAGAGTACCGGCACTGATTTTAAACACTTCTTAATTATAATGTTTTTATTAATGACCACTAACACGCTATGACATATAGCTTAACTAATAATAATATATATAAATGAATTCCTATTTCCCTTGGTCACGGCATCACGCGTGAACGGCTGGACCGATTTCGCTAATTCTGTTTTTGTTGTGTTTGTTAGAAGCTTTTGTCAGAAGAAGGTTCTTATGAAAGAAAAAATTAAGAAATAGATAGAAGATATTAAATGAAATACCTTGTTTAATTTTTTTAAACAGTCTATTATATATGGGTTTGAGCGGGAATTCAAATAGGGATTCATCTGCCAAGCTCATTCACCATACAAAGATGTTATAGGTAAGCTAGTTTTGCCAGTCTAAGCTACTAACCTAGTAACACAATTTACTTGTATATATTTGCGTGTTAATGCGTATTGGACTAGAAACTCTGATACTATCTTATATTTACTCTTTCGATAGAAAACGTCAACAAAATATCTAATACGTATTAAGAACGAGAAAATTTGATTGCCGCTTTTTGTGGTTGATATATGATATCTATTTTACTTAATTTTCTTTTCACGCCTTGCTTAATTTGTAGCATTTTGCGGCTGCCAAGCCAGGCTTAGAATGCCTTAATATTTTTGATTCCTAGGACGTTCCATCTGTACTTAAAATTTTTATCCCATTATTTTTCGTGTTTAAAATATTTTTTCGGAAAAGCACGACAACCTCTTCATTATCCAACGCGCACCGCTTTTTGCATTAATTCTTGTTCTTTTTATGTTTCTATCTTTTTGCCGTCTCGGGTGATTGCTTCGGTACAAGTGGGCATCTACAATGGACTGGGATTTTCTTTTTAAGGTGTCTTAGGGGTGATATTTAAATGAAGGCTTTGGGGTTTATATGATGAGGTGCTTGAGACATTGCAATTGTCAATTCTTGATGGAAATGGATTTTAAAATAGGCGCGTATACTAAGAGCGGGCATTATTTATATTATGAAAATGGTATTCTATCTAAAAAGGCCGTTAAATTTTCAATACTTTCTGGGTTAAATACTTTTTGTGTTTACATGAATTTAAAGGTATTTATGATATTACGTAACAGTCATATTGTAAGGCAAAGAACGTCATCATCATCAAGGTGCTACATGCCATCGGGGCTTTAGTCTGGTCGAGGAAGAACCTCCAGCCGGTCCTGTTCTGTGCTTTTTACTTTTTACCATAATTGGAGGTGATGCTCCACACCATCGTAATTTAAGCCTTCTGCGGTTTCACCGGCCTCCGGGTTTCCATCCATAAGCCTCGGTGGTACCCTTTCATCATACATCCGGGCAACATGTCCAGCCCATTGTAGCCTCTTTATCTGTATGGTTTTGATTATGTCTGGATCGCCATACAGGTGGCTCATGAGTATATCTAGTAAATCGAACGTGTATACCTTAAATAACAATTACTATATAATTGTGATTACATATACAGTAATTAGTTACTTTTCACAATGACTATATTTTATTAATGTATTCTGCACGGTTATTCTCATATCATACTAATATTTTCCTAAGTACCTGCGTATATCAAAAAATCTTAAACCTTATTATTGAAATAAACCTACCGTAAAAATTGTTAAGGACACTCTCAATATTAAACGCGCAGAAAATCTTGAGTGCGGCGTTGGATTACTTTTCAGTATTTTGTCATCCGTCAAAATGTATTTTTCTCTATTTTTTTCTTTTCAAGGATCACTGGAGAGGTTTTTTGTTAAGAGTGTCCGCACCCCACCCTATTTCTTATTTGACGTTAATATTCATAAGTAAATTGGTGGGATGATCCGTTATGGAGACGGCTTTTAATGTGAATTACTTTCGCAAAATACGCATTGAAAATTTAGGGAAATTATTCTTGAATATTTACTGTGTCGTGTTTTGAAAATGGAATATAATGTATATTGACTGTGATGAGTTCTTTTACAATTGATTATACTTTTTATTATGATACATTTTAAGAATAATAATACTGAGCTATCAAATTGCTAGACCTCCCGAAATCCATTCAATCATACTTAAAAAATTTGTAATATTAAATACGGCAAGAATAACGCGCAAATTTCTACAAGATAGTAACCCATACAAAAAACTGTGTGCACTTGATTTGTCCCGTGTGCAACAGTGTACCAGGAACATTAATCGATCCTGAGCGAAAGTAAACAGTTACCAAACATAATAATGAAAATAGAAAAAACATTGACTTTTCTAAGAGTGACATTATTTTATGCTTAGCAATGAAACATTATATTGCCAGCAACCATAACTAACGTCAGTTATGCGTGTGTATGTAGTATTTTACTTGTATGAAAAATATTATTATCCAACTAATTTATGAATTATAACTTTTCTTTCGGAATTACGCATAAACATTTAAACGAAAGGAATACAGAAAATCTACAAATTATCAACACATTTTCTTAATAAAATGACAAAGTTCATCTCCGGGTTCTACACTCACAATGAAACGTAAACACGACATAATTATTGCATCAGAGGCCCTATATTTAGCTCTCTCGGCGGGAGATGTTATTAATTGTGAAATAAACTGAAAACGCAGTTGGCCAATTGCGAAACCCGTTATGAGAATATTTTGTTTATGTAAATACTCGTAGAAGTTCAATTTTAGAACCATCATTTTGTTTATTGGGTTACATCGTCCTTGATCACACTAAGAACTAGAGACAATTTTTACTGTATTACTGGATAGATTCTATATAAACTTGTAATATAGGTATATATAAAAAATGTTGTAAGTTTGACAGCAGTGTTGGCCTGGCCTATGGACTTTCTAAGTGCGCATTTAATATTCACTCGAATGGAGAAGGAAAACATCGTGAGGACACCGGGTTGCCGTAGAACCAAAAAGTCGACGCCGTGTGTCAGGCAGGAGGCTGATAACCTACTTGCCTATTATAGACAAATTATCATGAAACAGATACAGAAATCTCAGGTCCAGACCTAAAAAGGTTTTAGCACCACTGTTTTTTTTATATTTAGATTAAAAATAGTAGATATTAAAATATTAATTTATATGTCCTTCTCTGTTTGAATGGTATTCGTCAAGTGCTAAATGTTCAACTTCAAGAAAATTTATAAACATGCCATTATCTGTCGCTGCTGAAATTTTATCTTCAAAGAATCACTGGTACAATACGTTCTAGTGCCTAGATTGAATTAGTATGAAAACAAATAACCTGAAAAAAACACCTAAAATTTACACCGGGCGTTACATTTTATTATCCTGACGGAAATGACTCATTCTCCTCTAAGCGCGTACAATGAAATTTCCAATAAGGCGTAAATCCATCTTCATTGCTGCCAATGTTTTGTGGCGCAATTAATTCCCTACTAAATACTAAAATAGGTTTATTTCTAACGTAAAATAACGGTCACCCCTCGAAGTCATGGCTGTATATTTTTATATCAGAAATAACTTCACAAAACTAAGCGATTTTATTAAAGCTGCGTACTATTGTACGCTGCCAAATCGCGTAAATATTATCGTTTATCTAAAAATAATTTAGGTTGTTATAGATTAGGAAGGTAGTGATAGATTCTTTAAACAAAACCCTCACATAATATATTTTCTTATATATAAATGGGAAAAGCTAATTTTCCTTTAAAAAAAAAATTTCAAGTCAGACCAAAAAATATTTTGTATTTTAAGCGATAAGAATCACGGTACAATTTAGTATAAAAAAGTAATTTCTTGAGTATTAACTGACACAGTTTTAAAGTTATCGTGATCAAAAGTAAACACAGTGTTGGCTGTATTCCAAAATGCGTACGCGTTATAAGTGTGAATAAATTTTCATATTATGTAGTTATGGTCTGCATACAAACTGATAATTAATACTTCCTTGTATTTAGCAAAAAGTTGTTTTTTTACAAAGAGCTTCAGTTTTTGGGTTGATGATAGTGGCGCATAGGTAAAATGTTATCATAGATGTGTCTCACTTTTACTGATAATGTTCACTTCAATACATAAAATATATATATATTTGTATATATATAATTTCTATTAATTGTATACCATTATTATATATTGATTCTTTACTTTACCCCAATATTATATTTTTTACTTTAGCCGGAAGCAATAAAAGAGTGCCTAAAAACAAAAATAAAATGGCTCATGGATAATCTTATCTTATAAAGAAAACACTCGTAGTAAAGTTTATTTGAACGTAAAAATCCGTATTAGAAAAGATTTAATTTCCCCTCCAGTCAGTACTTTATTTTATTGTAAACATTATTCAATATAATTGAACCCCTCGCGAATACAAAATATTTACGATTGACTGTATATTTTTAACATCTATTAAAGCTATATCAAATAACTACAAGAAGACTAAAGTCCCAAAAATTTTCAGAATGATTAAACAAGAGGAATTATATTAATCTGATTTATTCGATTTATTTTAAAACGATTGGCCCCCTTTTCTGAAATTTAAAACGGGGTACTGTAACTAGGCAATGTAATAGAACGTATACAATTGCCTTATTTTTCTTACAGGCGTTTATTATTTCTATATAAAATATTCAAACGTCGCGTCGTCGAGCATACAGAGAATTGTGTAAAAAAACTACACTTATTCCTTCCTTTAATCATGTTTTGTATGCATTATATTAGTTAATGATATATGTTATAGTTTTGCGTAGTTAACTATAATTTAAAGGAATCTCTTTATTATTAAATAATAGTAAACTCTAAGAGCGAAACACACTCACTGTTGGATAATTTGGCTAATATTCTAGGCAAACTCTTGCCATAAATGATAGCCTAGTAAACAATAACGTACTAATACAAAGAAAAGTAAAAGTTTCTCGTTCTACACTTGTTAATTACGATGTAGGCCATACAATTTAAGGTTTGTTTAACTGTATCATTTGCGTTTTTAAATTGTACATGTTAGCACTTATATCTGTATAGAGGTTCATCGACACTATGATTCATTTGTAGGGAACAAAGGCACAGACGGTTTTCAGAAAATAATATGTATTTTTTAATTTCAAATGAATTTGCACGCTGTGGTAACTAAATGAGTTTATGGGTTCAAGGTAACAACATCACTGCTATGTTACTTATTAACCACTAAAAAGGTTTTGTTTTCAATCATGACGAGATGACACATGTAAACATTTTTTTATATGATTAAATACGGGAGGTACTCATTATTACTTTATTTAGTTCAGGATCGGTTCCTAAGTCTCAAGAGCTCAGGACAAATGGGCACAGGATTTTTGAAGTGAAAACTTCTTTAGCGGCGCTGAGCACTTTTTTTTTAAAACTATAGTACATGTCAAACGTCGTAGGCAAAAGAGGGGAATCTCTGTGAATTAATGGTCTAATTGTTAAATAAATATATATTATTTTTTGGTATTAGTTCTATTATAGATACAATAATTTTCTGACGAAATATTTTGTGCGTTCCTGGGCAGTTTAGATTCAAAGACCACTTAGCGTTATACTTTGAGCATTTAGATAATATTAAAAGTCTTACCTCATCCGTATCAACAACGCCGTCAGCCACATCTGTTCCTCCCTTATCCCTCCAATGCTTCTCGCCAGTCACCGAGAAGTTAAACGAGGACTCCCTTCGAGGACTAAGCAAGACCCCCGCTGGGGTTCTTGGACTCCCATATCTGAAGATCTCCAGGTTGGTGGTTGAAAATCGGTCGTTTCCATTATCTGTTCGTGGGCTCACGAATACGTCGTCATCGAGGTCCATGTCCAGGGGAAGTGTAAGGGGGGGAGAGGAAGCTGATAAGCGGCTCGGGGGCGGGGCTGCTGATGGTCGTACGATGTCTGACTCGGAGTACGGCCGATCTGTGAACATGATATTATAGGTTTTAGTGCCATTGTTAAAGAACATACATTGAACGACACAAATTCATAAGTATCTTATACAAGCATGTTGATGTTCCTGCATAGGATGTTTTCGTCTATATTTTAATATTAAAATTTTACAAATAAGAAGATAAGTGAGTGACTCCAAATACGGCTCCAGTTGACAAGGTGCGTTTTATAGACGTTTTAGTTTCCGTATATACCAACCAATATTACCAAGGAAAACATCACCAGGATTATAGCAATCAAAAAGACATTAAATAAATGCGTACAGGTATCGAATTGGCTGTGACAGAACAAAGGGGGAGCAATTTGTTATCAATGAGATCGATGATACAAGTACCAGGGCGCAAGGAGGCCCAAGGAGTTTCAATATTTTAATAAAATCTTCGTTGGCCGGCGAAACCCGTTTTGTCAAGGCGCACGTGCAGCAACTGGCCACTGTGTGAGTGAGACAGTATAGTGCCATCCCACTCTAAGTGCAACGTTCGTAATATTATAGTGGATGAGGTTGGATGTATAACCGCAATGCTTCTAATATCTTGTAATTCTGACGTAAGGTGTCCGGTTAACTGACTATTGTTTTCAATGCTGGTTGGATACAGCCTAAAGGGTCAGATTATCAAGATCGCTGTGGAATTATTCAATTATAAACTCGATACGGATAACCACGAATGGTTGTATACATATATAATTATATGAGTAAAAATCTAAATATATAATCGTTAAGTTCGATAAACATTTCGTAACATCTAATATATAAAATTCTCGTGTCACAAAGTTCGTTCCCATACTCCTTCGAAACGGGTCGTCCGATTCTTATGATTTTTTTATGTATATTCAGTAAGTCTGAGAATCGGCTTCTATCTATGTTTCAAACCACTCAATGTTAAGGGTGATGCCACCCCTAAATTTTAATTTTATTTTTTTATACAAAACTTTTTGTTTTTATTTTTTTATGATACAGCATACAAAAATACATACAACCCTTAATTGCCACCCTCTCGGATCAACCCCTATTTTTATTATTGTAGATATGTAGTTATATTTATTAAACTAACAAAAAATTCTAGAAATAATATACATGGCAAAACGACGTTTTCAGGGTCAGCTAGTATAATAAAGATATTGTGACTCCAAGACCCTCAAGAAGTCCATACTAATCTTTAGAATATTTTTTATTGTAGTAAAACAGGTGGACTAGGGGCTTCATATCACACTGAGTATGGGATTAAATATTATTGCAATGTAAATAATTTATTTTCCCACTACATATCGTGTTCGTTATTTATTATAGACCTGGTTTCAACTTGGGCTTTTTGTTGCGGAAACAGCCATACATATTATTAATTTTATAGGCTTTGAGACTTTAAATGTTGCCTGTACTATATTAAAACTGTAAACTTTATCCATAAAGTATCTATGCCTATGTGTACCTCGTTTAAAGTTGTAAAGTACTCTAGAATAAAAGTTTTTATCCAACCTTATTTTTAGAGCCTTTAATTTAAAATCTGGGAAGAAAAAGTGATTATTTTTTAAAGTTAAACGTAAATCTAGGTAAAATAAAGGTGACCATTAAACACAGTATATCGTTAAAACCGTTAACGATCTATAAATCAATGATTGATAGATCTTGTATCACTCGGCTGATACAATGAAATGGCTACTTAACCTACTTTAAAGAAATTCAATACTTTAAACATTAAACAATGATATGTAATCAATATCTTTAAATCGTTTAAACGTAAAAACAGAATAAATAACATAAAGGATTATTAGTTTGTTGTTTTCAGTTTCCGTTAAATTTAATCTTTCAAAATTCTCACAGAACAAGTTTCTTTACAGCCTACTGACCATTGTCCAAAACAGTGATTTGTCAATTGTTTAATCTCATAAGTTCTATCTCAAAGCACAGCAATGACTTAACATGATTTGTTGATTAATTGAACGTTTTTACAAAACAAGTATTTTTGAATAATCTTTAAAACCAGAATCTTGTTTGAATTTTTGCTTACTCAATCGTAATTTAATATAAAGCCGGTTATTATATTATACATGTACTTTCTAGCAAATTAAATATTAATACAATTTAATTTTAAATTTAAAACGACCGCAATAACGTTACATATTCCATTTATTTTCGCTATAAGTCTGGAATTAAAACTATTTCCAATACGCAATGTTCTATGGTCTATGCTAGAGTAACCATAGCCTCGTTTTAAAACGCTCGCTTAAATCAGTTAGTTCTATCAAGTACAGTTAGACAGTTAGCGATTAAGTACTTAACAACAATTATGTTGATGTTGCTGAGACGAGATAAGCTTTATAAATAGCCTTGGTGATGGTCGGACATAGTAAAATAATATACAAACTCTCCGCCACTCTTTTTAATCGCCAACTTTTTTGTTTTACACAATGTTTGTAAGGAGCTGCAACCATTAGACCATGCAACATCTATATTTCAGATTACATCCATATGTAGAGTTAGTAACAGTTCAGTATTGGAACGAAGTTCCTTATCGCGCGTTGTGAAAGGGGGCTAGACGGAAAAAAAATCTTACGAAAAGTTGTCACGACACTTTTTTGCTATTTGCTATTGTAATACACCGGTTCTCGTCTGATCACCGAAGTTAAGCAACGTCGGGCGAGGTCAGTACTTGGATGGGTGACCGCCTGGGAACACCTCATGATGTTGGCTTTTTTTATTCGTCGTAAGATTGGTGTCGAGATAATCTATCATACTATTATGATACCAATTAACATATAAATTAATCGAAAGGAATTTCGTTCCATCCGGGTGTCCCTTGACACCTCTAAGTTTTATTTATAATTTTAGTATTGCTTAATAAACAAAATAAAATACTCCTAGAGTGAGGCATGGACAGTATTATTTTCAGATATGCGTATTTTTGTTCGCTTTGTAATCAACACATTTGGGATACCACTGGTGCTATGCCTAACACGATGCATCAAGGATGCCACCCTTTTTTGAATGATGTAAAAGAAGTAGATTGTGTTCGTGACTTAGGTATATGGTTAGACTATAAAATGACGTATAATAACCATATTGACACAATAGTTGACAAGGCCTATAAGCAGCTTGGTTTTGTAAGACGTGTTAGTGAACATTTTCATGATGTCGACTGTATGAAAGTGCTATACTATACATAAGAAAGTATTCTCGAATATGGTTGTTCGGTTTGATCACCTAGTTACACTGTACAAAAAGAAAAAAATTTAAAAGATCCAAAAAAAGACTTCATAAAATTTATCTCCTATAAGACCTACAATAAGTTTAATACATATAAAGACGCGTGTGAACATTTTAAAATTAATACTTTAGACTCTCGACGAAAACAATATGATTTATTGCTACTACATGACATCATCTCAAATAAAATTAATTGCAGCTCCCTTCTAGAAAAATTGTCCTTCCTTGTTCCTGCCTACCAGACTCGTAATCGTGCTTTGTTTCATGTTCCTTACATTAACACTAACTATGCAAAAAACTCAGTTTTGTATCGCGCAGCCCGGACATACAACGACCAATATTTAAGCCTTGACCTGTTGAAGCCGGTTGCAGACCGAAAACTAAGCTATGCCAAGGCTAAACTAAGCTATGCCAAGCAAGCTAGGCTAAGCTAAGCTAGAAATAAATAGCGTGCACACCAACAGCTAACCCAAAGCTCAGTCAGTGTTGCATAGTATGTGCAAAGGGTGTGCGGGGTAGCGCGAGGGGCTTAGCTTAGCTCGTGTAGCTGCGCATCGGCATACACAACTAACTTAGCTTCGCATATTTTAGTTAGCTCACATAGCTTAGTTCGCATAGTTTGCGGTCTGCACAGACGTATGGAAAATTGCGTCAGCTATGCGAGCTAAGCTAAACTAACGTAGCTTAGCTCTTGGTCTGCAACGCGTATTAAGCTGTCGCGGAATATGGTTAAAAGGAGTATTAAGAATATCCATAGCGCAAAATCACCTGCATCATGAGCATACCCCACATACACACCTTCACGTACTTACACTCACTTTTACACCATCACACAACACAGCCAAATTAGGTATTATTTAGTTGAATATATTGAATAATTTTTTTTGAAGTTATACTTCTTTAGGCGCGTTATGAAAAATTTATGAGAGTGAAATTTTACGATGCGCCCGCACCGTGACACAAAATTAGGAGTGTGATTATAGCGTGCGCGAGCGAGATAGGAATAAGACAATCTACAAGTAAAAAGAAATAGAATATGCGTGAAGTTCGTATGCCAAGAATTTTGAATGACCATAATGACATTTGTCATTTACCTTTTAAACAAATAAAGGAGTTTTAATTATTTTGTCAAAGAAATTTAGCAATGCTTTTTGAATTATATATAATCAGAAGTGATTTAAATTGAATATTTAAACCAATACTAATTAATATTTGTGAAAAAACTGTGCTCATCAACCTTCCTTAGTGCTTCATTACAATTGAGGTTAACTATCAGTTTGTATTATTATTATCGAGTAATGTTTTGATTAAAAAAATTACCACATTGTTTAATCAAAACATGTAATTTTTCTCTAGCAAATATAAGGACAAGAGACAAAAAACAATTGATGAATCAGTGTAAGTGCACTAAATTGAATACAAAAAAGAGTTGTCATCTTATCGCTGTGAAACATCAAAAACTGGAGGTGGAACAAAGCCAAACTATTTTTAATAATGCCAAAGAAGTATAACTTCTTACGCGCGTACATAAGTACACGCACCCTTTTTTTTTTGTATGTTTGATTTTGTAAATTTTTGAACCTTTTTGTAGTAAAATGTATTATGTAGTCCATCTCTGGCTATATTTTCAGTGTAACTGTTTGTTATTATATATAATTTATGTTAGCTGTAGGATTACGAAATAAATAAATAAATGGCATTAAAACCGTCAGTTCGGGTCTCGGCAAATATACCTGACGCACTGCAGAACTTCGGCAAGCCCAATACTAACCTAAACA